CTCAGACTTTGCTGGGTGCAAAATTGACAGAAAAAGCACCTCTGGAACTTGTCAAATGATTGGAGGAAGACTTGTTTCTTGGTTCAGCAAGAAACAACACTCAATTGCCACAAGCACTGCTGAAGCAGAATACATAGCAGCAGGCAGCTGCTGTGCACAAATACTATGGATGAAGCAGCAATTGAGGGATTATGGAGAAGAAACAAAGGAGGTCAGCATTCTGTGTGACAACACAAGTGCTATAGCAATAACTCATAATCCAGTATTTCACTCAAGAACCAAGCATATTGAGATCAGACACCATTTCATCAGAGAACATGTTGAGAAGAAAACCATCAGATTGGAGTACATCCCCACAGAAAAGCAGCTGGCTGACATCTTCACGAAGCCCTTAAATGAAGCCAGGTTTAATTCTCTAAGACAAGACCTAGGAATGCTTGATGATCTGGATCAAAGTAGAGAATAAAATCTGCAACAACTCAGGGGGAATTCCACTCAAAGAACTCAATTATGAGAGGGAATTACCAAAGCATCAACTCAGGGGGAAATGTACTCAAACATCCAACAAAATGAGCATCAAAGAAGTTGGAGCACAAAAGATGACAAAGACAAGGGAATGAAGCTCTATGGTCCTTATACAAAAGGTCTCAAAGGTGTATCAGAAGACCCCAGATCAGAAGTCCTTGGATCCTATCAGAAGACCCCAGATCAGAAGTCCTTGGATCCTATCAGAAGACCCCAGATCAGAAGTCCTTGGATCCTATCAGAAGACCCCAGATCAGAAGTCCTTGGATACTATCAGAAGACCTCAGATCAGAAGGTCTCAGAAATAATAAAAAGGCTTTAAAAACTATCAGAAGGCCTCAGAAGACTATTATGAGGAGAAAACCTCAGAGAGTCACACACGATCTCTTAAGAGTAACAGACGGTTACCGCAACCAGAGAACAAATCAGATTCAGTTGAGGAATCTACGCATGCAACTACGACACATGGTGATTCAACAAAGTGTTGGGAAGCAACATCATTAAATTGGTAAGATCATCCAACCAATTTTTCTCTTTTATCTATGCTGATTTCATTCTTGAAAAGAACATCAAGCCGTAATTCCTTTAATACACTTCGAATTCTCAACCAAGAATCCCAAACGATGCATGCAAGTATAAATATCCTGGTTAATCCTCAAATAAACAAGCATCTTCCTCGACTATACAATTATCTTCAAAAGCCTCATTCTTCCAAAATACCTTCGACAAAACACTCTCAAATGGCGAATCAAAGACTAAACCTAGATCTTTCACTAGCCCCTCCACAGTCTCAAGACACTACTCCTTCAACACGAAGGACAGACAACTGTGTGAATGATCTTGGGTCATGGATAGTCTTTGAAACAGACAAAACTACTCTTGACCAAGAAAGACAGAGAGTGATTTCATGGAAAATGTGGAGACCGTCTCCCATAAACATTCTCCTTTTTGCTGCACCCTTCCTCAGAGAAGAGGAAGCCCTTGCACTCAACTGGCTTGAAACCGGGTCTGTTAGTGTTGCTCTGTCAGAAGGCTTAATTGACAGAGTATACAATGCGAAACTTGACCAGCTCAAACGAGCAAGAAGGCAAAGAATTCGCATGACTGGAGAACCATCCGGCAGACAACACTAAAGACAAGTGTCTGTTGCTGCCAAAAAGGGGGAAAATGGAATCTAATTACAATGTTAGACTCTAGTTAGTTTTGGCATCATCAAAAAGGGGGAAATTGTTAGGTCCCTCAGACTTTGATGTAACCTACTATTATAAGAGATAGTTTTGATGATGCCATCCTTCTCTTGTGTTTAGATTCTATTATAAAAATTGTATACTCGTTTTAAAAACAGTAGTAGGTTCTCAAATTGCTTAAACAAGAATACTTTGTAACAGTGACAAAATATTAACATTGTACAATTTTTATGACAAATAAATATACTGGAAATGTTAAAATGCAATAAGGTAAAATTCTACCTTGCAAGGATATTCAAATCCATCCAGTATGTTTTTATTTGTTATAAAAACTATTCTTGTCACTAGTACAAATATGACCAATCCTACCTGTACACTTTCGGAAACACATAAACTTGACTGGAAATATAAAATGCAATAAGGTAAATTTTTAATTACCTTAACAAGGATATTTTTCCTACCAGTTAAATTTATGTGTTAAAGAAAGACCAAGGACACAATATTTTCCTAAGGCCAGAGCATCTACAAAAGCATGGGACACTACAACACGCAGAGTTGCCTGTGAAGACAAAACCCCACTAGATGGTGAATAATGCGTAAAAGGCCTAAGGAATGGGTTTACATTTCCTGCAAAGCAAGTTTCTCCAATTGCGTCTGAAGATAAGCTGCTCCAACACAAGAAGACGAAAGTACAAGAAGCCTCAACGACATAGATTAGATCCTCTCAACCAACGGGGGAGATTAATCAACCAGAGATGCCTATAAATTCGGGCATAAGCATGAGAAGAAAAACAAGCTCATGAGTTCACTAAGCAAAGAAATCATACTACACAAAGAAGATATCCAGCAATAGAGAAAGTGTTCATTAAATTCTGCTCTCTGCTTAGATTCATGCTTCACTAAACTTTCTAGAACAGAAATCCTCATTGATACACTCAGAAAGTTTAGTTTTTAGTTGGAGGCTAGAAATTTGTTTCATATTGAAACTGTTGTAAACACTTATAAGGATAGCGTCATCTAAGTCCTTAAGTGTGGTAGAATAGGATAGAGTACCTTTTGATCCCCACTGGATCAATTGAGAAAAACCTAAAGGATTGAGTAGCTAAGAGTGGTGTGTACTTAGGGCTGAGCACGGGTCGGGTTCGGGCGGGTCGGGTCTGCGTACCCTAAACCCGTTCGGGTATTTTAAGTTAAATACTAGGCCCGACCCTTTGATATTTCAAATCGGGTTTTTCGGATATTTGTAAGTCGGATATTATCGGATATCGGATCGGGTTTCGGATATTTCGGTTATATTAAAAAAAATTGGATAATTAAAGTGTTTGAATGCCACTTTGACAAAAATTCTACAAGCTAATGCACTAAACATTCAAATTATGCAAATAATTTAATACAAATTGCATAAATAATTACACAAATAATTGAACACAAGTATTAATTTAACATATTCAAAGTACACACTACATAATTTAATATATTTCGAATATTTCGGTTATATTAAAACACATTATAATTAGATAATTAAAGTGTTGGAATGTCACTTTGACAAAAAATGTACACACTAGTGCACTACACATTCAAATTACAAAAATAATTTAACACAAATTGCATAAATAATTACACAAATAATTGAACACAAGTATTAATTTAACATATTCAAAGTACACACTAAATTATTTAATATATTTCGGATATTCGGGCGGGTCGGGTTGGGATTTTACAAACCCTACCCGCCACCCGATCTAGGCCCAATACTAATCGGATTTTCGGTTTCGGATTTTTCGGGTCGGATATCCATTTCGGTTCGGATAATATCCGAAAAAAACTTCGGGTTTTGCGGGTCGGTTCGGGTTTTGCTCAGCCCTATGTGTACTCTTAGTGAAACACCTTGAAGTCTGAGCAGGTTGGTGATAACAGCCAGACGGTCACTAATTGTATTGGGCTGAATACTTTAGTGGAAATCCATCTGAAAGAGGATGGGACTGGATGTAAGAGGATTACACCACCTCTGAACCAGGATACATCTTGTGTCAATCTATTTCTCTGATCCAAAATCATCAGAGGACCTCACTTAAGGGTCTCTGACTCAAAGACATCAGAAGACCTCACTGAAGGGTCTCTGATCCAAGATCATCAGAGGACCTCACTAAAGGGTCTCTGATCCAAGATCATCAGAGGACCTCACTAAAGGGTCTCTGATCCAAGATTATCAGAGGACCTCACTGAAGGAAGTCTGATTCAAGATCATCAGAGGATCTCACCGAAAGATCTTCAAAGCAGAGCCTCCATTCTACTACACACTTCAGTCACTAAAGATAAGTTGTTCAAAATACAAATACTTCTTCCCTCTTATCCTCTTCTAAGAAAGTTACCATTCACAGTCAAAAAGAGGTCAAAACTTCCGCTGCAATCCTAAATCTCTCAAAAGATTTCAGATCATCATACCTATGAGAGAAACTCTTTAAAAGTTCAAAGATCTTTGAAAGTCTATTCACCCCCCCTCTAGACTTTCACCTCTATCAGGGACCATCAAAAAATTGTACCTGGAATATAAATAATGAATCCAATAGTGAATTTATGGATCTTTTTGAATTAACACATGCACTAGGATCTTAAGAAAGAATTTTCTTTCTCGCAGTGTTTGTTTCCTGCTAGCAATATACAACAACATCCAAGCCTTAGCCCCAAAAGAGTTTGGTGTCGACTGACATATAGTTTAGGGAAAAGGGGCAAATAAGCCCTCGAACTAATAAAAAAAGTGCAAATAAGCCCTTTTATAGGCGGTTCTGTCCGATTATCGTCATTTAGGGAGGTTTTCGGTGGAATTTTTTGATAAATTTTTTTGAACATCTTCTTCATTAAGTCTAGTTTAGCCATACCGAATTTCAGTTAAAAATTCAATCGGGAAGGCACTCAAATGATTTTTGGAAATATACTGCGTTGTTTAACTGCGCAGTTATCTTCAAAAATTCATTTGACTGTCTTCCCGATTGAATTTTTAGCTGAAATTCGGTATGACTAAACTAGACTTAATGAATAAGATGCTCAAAAAATTTCATCAAAAAATTCCACCGGGAACCTCCCCAAATGACAATGGCCGGACGGAACCTCCTACAAAAGGGCTTATTTGCACTTTTTTGATTAGTTCGAGGGCTTATTTGCCCCTTTTCTCTATAGTTTAAATATATTTTGATTGAATAAATGAATAGTAACGAGTTGCTAAATGATTTAATTAGCTTGTATTCCCTTCAGGGATTGCTGAATACTCTGTATAAGTTTTTTTTGCAGGTAGTACCTACCGTATACACTGATGTGAATGGGTACACCATACAGTCAAATCAGGTTTGGCAATATTGCAATGTTTGCAACTTTCTATATTCCAAACCTTGGCTGAATGTGCACTGATCCATCTGATATTGTCATATTTTATAGTTCTCTGTAACTGAACACTTCAAGGGATCAGGAGTTGGCCAACTTCAGACTCTTCCTGGAGTTTTCTTCTTTTATGACCTTTCACTGATCAAGGTCAGTTGTCGCATGTTCACGCCCTTCCCATTTTCAGGGAAGTCCAAAGTAACCCTTATGAAAGCATTATGACTTTTGAGCCCATTTCTCACGCTTTAGTTTTAGCTTGTCAGTCTCTTATGATTTGAGTCTTTTTTTAACAAACATTAATTAGTGAGAAAAAATAGTGCATGTGTTAGTTTTTTATTGAATGGATGAAATTAATAGTTTGCTTTATACTAAGACTTAAGAGTAGTGCATGTGTTAGTTTTTTATTGAATGGATGAGATTAATAGTTTGCTTTATATTTTTAATTTTTATATTATTTTTTAATACATTCAAAAATGTTTTTTTGCTTTGATAATTTAAAAAATCATTCAATTCAACCATTAAGCTTCAGCTTCAGCAATTTCATCCTATTCGACCACTTTATCCACTAAATTTATGTTTTGACCAAGCACTATATTCACCATATGACCATGGATCACTTCAACACTAATCCTTTTCTCTATTGATGATGCAGGTGACTTTCACTGAGCAACATGTTTCATTCTTGCATTTTCTGACAAGTGTTTGTGCAATAGTTGGAGGTATGCGTCACATTTACAGATGAGTGTGTGGTTACATTGTTGAAAATTCTCTACCTGGTCCCTCATTGGGCGTCTTGTTTTCTTTCCATTTAAACTTGCCTAATTCCATTTAGATCTAGGTGATACTGAACTCAAAACCTGCATATCTAGAAACCGCCACCAGTTATATACTATCTCCGTCCCATTTTATGTGTCCTACTTTGGTTTGACACAATTATTAATAGAATGGTTGAAAAAGTAAAAGTTGTGGTCGAGATTTGAGTATAATAAAGTGAAATGATGGAGAACTTATATTTCATTCCAAAAAAGAAATTGTTACACTTATTTTGGGATAACTCAAAAAGGAAAGTACAACATGTTAAATGGGATGGAGGTAGTATGTAAGGTTCTTATTCCGATTCCTGTATCCTAAGAATCAAGCCTACCCATGGTTCTGGTTAAGTTTGCTTCCATCATTTGCAATGGAGCCAAAGTTTACTATTTTTAGCTTGGGAATATGATGGAATAAAGAAAAATGGCTCTCTAAACTGTTTGCGCTTCTTTGTTATGAAGCAGCAGTCAACCCATGCAATTTTCGACGTGATTTTCACCATGTGTCATCCAAAAACAGTCTCACTGTGCTTTAGTATAGGGGTAAGGCTGCATACATCCGACCCCCCTTACCCCACCGTAGGTGGGAGCCTTTGCGGCACTGGGGTAATGATGAAGAATGATGAAGAAGATGGTTCTGGTTAAGTTTCTGACCTTTTTGGTACAGTTGCAGCTTGTGCCCAGCCCTACTACATAGACCTTTATTACTAAAACTTTATTTGTGCCAATTGCGATCCGGTTCTTGTGACATTGCCATAGACCCTGATTGGTCGAGGACTAGGTGCTAACTCCTGTCTGCCATGTAGAAGGCGCTATGTCACTATGGTCTAATATGAATCTTTCTATCATATTTTCAAGTTTATATGGTATAAGGCTCATGGAGTGTATGACATTTGCATGGGTCATTTTCAGGGTTGTTCACTGTGTCGGGAATAATTGATTCATTCATATATCATGGTCAAAAGGCGATTAAGAAGAAGATGGAACTTGGTAAATTCAGCTGATGGGCTGTTTGGTATCCTCCACTGTCCACATTTTATGACCAACATAAATAGAGCAAACAGAAAACCGTAGCTTCAAGCCTTCTTGCATATTGCGGCCTTACGCTTTCAAATACCCAGGTTTCGTCCACTGTACTAAGAGAATAGATCAATCTTTGTAGTTCTTTATTCTTGAATGTCATTTCTTCTTTGTTTCTATTTTCTTGTACTCATGCCAATTCTTCTTAGCACTTTTGGTAATTAAGTTATTTTTTATTTTGTAATTAGTTAATTACGTTATATATACATATATATAGAACGTTTCTCATACATCCGGAATGACCTAGAAGTGTCGTCCAGCCGCCTCCTTTTGACGTGCTTCCGGGTGGAATTTTTTGATGAAATTTAATGAGCATGTTCTTCATGAAGGGTAGATTATGTCCATAAAATTTCAGCTTAAAATTCAATCGGTTAAGTATGTTAGGTACTTAGGTAAGATGAGTTCTATGACTTCAGAACCTTTCACTTTGAAGACCAGCTTGTATTTGAGTAGTAGGTTAGCATGTGTAAACAAACGTAAAACTCAACACAAAGTAGGCTTAAATTTCAAACTTATAACAGTGATGGTGCCAAACTTGAACTCAGGAGCAACCAAAGATAAAAGACATAGTCGAGTGAATGTTTAGAAGACCTACCTCTTTCACATAATTGCCTGATGTCATTTTGCAACAGTTTGAATTTGGTTCACAGTTTGAATTTGACAACTTAACCAAATTCAAACTTGTTAACGTTTAAAACCATTGGTGATTTCAAGCGTTTTGTTTTATGGAGGATTTGTATGGAATATGGTGTCGATTTGATTCGATACATGTAACAAAGAACATTTTGTACTCTCATCTGCTCCGAGTCTTCTCTTCTTGCATTTACTGGATAAATCGTTGTTGTCCTTCGAAAATTATGGTTGTAATAGCTTCACCATTAACACTATCAACTTCTTTGGACTCACCTTGAAGCTGAGGAACATTATCCTCTGATAGTCTGATATCATTTGTACAACTTGTGTAGGAAAACTGGCTTGACGTGCAAACTCCAACTTCTCGATCTTCAAAAGTTACTTTAGGATAAAGTAGAACTCAATCAACAACTCTTTTCTTTACAAGCAATAAATTACGAAATTTGGTGAAGGGAGAAGCAAAATTACAGAAACAAATGATTGAATTCTGTTCTAATCAAAGAAAATAAGTTCAGAATTAGGGGAAAGTGCACGTACGTATATGACCTCTCCCATAGATGTATATTTTTCTTGCAAAGTATGAAACTTTTACCAGATACACGAGTAAAGAGTTGCCCAAGAAAGCCCATTTAGAAAGAATTTCGGAATAGATGAATAGAAAAGATGTAAAGAGTTGACCAAACATCTTCACATCCATCAATGCGGGGATAATTCTTAAATTCTTCCTTAATGGGATGTGAGGATGTTAATGTCCAGACATTCAATTTTTTTTTTTAAAAAAATTGCAGTTTATCTTCTATTCGCGCATCCCTTGTCAGTTTTCTTCTTCACCGCAATCATAGAAGTGTCTTGTTGGTTTCCTTCTCTCCACCGCAATCATAGAATTGCCTTGTTGGTTTCCTGCTCACCACTGCAACCAATGAAGAGACGATGATTTCCTTCTCCCCATCGCAATCGAAGAGCACTGCACCCACAATTTGATCATTGATTCACAGGGGAAGGGATCATACGCATCTCCATGTAATCAATGGATCCCTACATCTCCACTATCGGTAAGATCGATTGTCAGTATGATCAACAATAGCATATCCAAATGTGGACTCATCCATTCCTAATCACAAAAGGTAGAGAGCATATATAAGATTGAGAGAACTGATGCAATTGAAAATAGAGAAATGTAAAAGGGTAGAAGAGAGATTGACTTACAGAGTGACAGAAGCTAACAGAAGATTGATGTAAAACAAACACAAAGAAGTTATTAAATACTTTAGGGCCTTAGGGGTATATAAACATATTAGGAAAAAAGATTAGCATATTCCAATAAGACATCCTAGCTGTAAATGTAGCTCACATGGCTTAGATTTATTTACCCATCCTTCAATTTTGTTGAAAGTATTGAAGTAATCACATTAAGAATATTCTAAAAACGTTATCCTAAAAAAAGAATATCCTAAAAAACAACATATGCTCATATTTCTTATCCAATAGGTAAACATTAGTCATTTGATTAATTATAGGGAAAAGGGTCAAATAGGCCCTCGAACTTACATAAAAAGGTCAAATAAGCCCTTATATAGGAGGCTCTGTCCGGCCGTCACCATTTGAGTATCTTATTCATTAAGTCTACTTTACTCATACAAAATTTCAGTTAAAATTTCAATCGGAAAGACATTCAAATGAATTCTTGAAGATAACTGCGTAGTTAAAAGCACAGTTATTTTCAAGAATACATTTGAATGCTTTCCCGATTGAATTGTTAGCTGAAATTTGGTATGAGTAAATTAGACTTAATGAATAAGATGCTAAAAAATGCATCTAAAAATTCCACCGGGAACTATCCCAAATGTTGACGGCCGGACAAAGCCTCCTATATAAGAGCTTATTTGACCTTTTTATTTAAGTTCGAGAGTCTATCTGACCCTTTTCCCTTAATTATATTATCTCTGGCCTACTAATATTGTATCATCTCTTGTAACTTACTCAATTTTCTCTCCTGAGAGTTAGACTAGATTTTCTCACCTTAAAGTTAGACTATAATTCTATTAATAAATAGTTTTAGTTATTGTAATTGGTAATCATTCAATATTTCAATATTTGACCAAAAAAAAAAATAATAATTCAATATTTCAATATACACAATTTACATGGTACCAAGAGCACCGAAGCAAAACTTTACACGATCTTACACTCTTACCCTCTTCATTTTCTTCTAGCTATTCTTCTTCTTCCCTACCATGCCTATCATGGTTGCGTACTTGCGAACACGACCATTGTTCACCGCAATGTTCCTACCAACTTTCTAAACTCACATCTGCAAATTTCTAGGTTTGGCAGTCAAGTTGAAGCCACACTCATTGGCATTAATTACAGTCTATTTGTTCAACTCAATCATTGTCCATTCCGGTCTAGGGTTGCTATTTCGATGGATCCTTTGTCTTGAAAGGGATTAGAGATAAGCATTATTGGTCATTTAATTAATTATATTACATCTTATTAATATTGTATTAATGTATTATCTCTTGTAATTGTTGTAAATCTCCCATATCGTCTCTCCTTAGAGACTTAGAGCATCACCAATGGTAGCTGTTAACATTAAAAAAAATGGCCGATTAATCCATTTCAACATTGTAATTGATATTTGCGTCTCCAACGCATATCATGTAATGCTTATGTGTCAAAAATTAATATTGACAGTGTTATCACGACTGTAATCAGATAACAGCCTATTTGACATGCTGACTCGGCGAATTTTGGCTGAGCAGTACGCAAAATGTAGAAACATTTGGGAAATACCCACGCCCATGCCAAACTCTAACCGCCACGACATCAACTTTCAGCAAGTAGTGGGTTCCTTTCAGAAAGGTTTTTTTTCTTTATACCTTTATTGCTTTTTAATTCATTCTTTTCTGATTAATTATAGTAATAATCATTACATTACCTCCACAATAACAACACTCATCTCAATGAAAAGGATTTACAGATTGAGAACCCACGTAACTCACAAATCTGTAAATTACGTGCAGGAGAAGGTCATGGTTTTTTATCTTTAAAAAAAATTAATATTTCATATAGGATTTAACAAATCTGTAAACTGATTTTTGTTTATTCAAAACAAAAGGCTGATTACACGGGATAAGCATTATTATGGGCTGTGAACACTATGCATTGGACCATAATTTTGGATTCCACGATTTGTTTACATGACATGGAAGACAATTCCATTTATTGATTGACATGTGTCATAAATGGTTCCATGTTAACAATGTGGCATTAATGATGCTCTTAGAGTTGGACTAGAATTCTTATTAGTCTCTTATAAGTAGTAACTCTTGTCTTATTGGTAGTTAATCAACATACACGCTTCACAATATAAACAAATGGCCATCCTCACAACAAAGGTTGGTCCTCTTATTTTTACCGCATATGGGCGATACATAGTCATGGATCTATTTTAAAAATTTATAAATCATACTTCTTACATCGATATATTTAAGAGGGCCGGGTTTTCCAAAATATTCTTGAAATAAAACTTATTGAAAAAATATGATTAATAATTACTATAATAAAATCGCATAGTCACTTGAGTGTAAAAATTGAATATAAATTACTATAACTAAGTGAATACTATTTCACTACACTTAGGAGGTCGTATTTTTGTCAACAACATTTTGTGTAGTCACATTTATATAATTATTTCTATTTCTATATTTAAACTATGATAAATAATATGCTATATAGAAAAGCTATGATAAAAAAAATTATCATAAAATAAAGTGCATATTTAAACAAAAGTAACAGATAAACTCATAAAAGTAAAATTAATAATGTCACTTTTTTATTAAAAAGAAGGCATATTGTATTCATTGTACTCCGTATAATATTATACTCCCTACGACCCAAATTGTTTTGAAAAGTCAACATTTTCTAGTCAATCAATAATAAAAGTCAATCCTTTCTATTGATAATTAATTCAATTTTTAATAATTAAAATTTAGATATTCAGAAACTACATTGAAATCTCTTCAAAGTTGCAAACTCCATATTAGAATATAATTAAAAATTGACATCTTAATTAAACGAATAAAATGAAACTGTTTGATCAAGAAAAATCAAATTTGCAAATCAATTTAGGACGGAGGTAGTAAACCACATGCAAATTCTTGATTCTCAGCTCCCTTTGTTCCCATTCGTCTTAGATTATTTTGTTTTGCAAACTTTAACAGTAAACAAAAACATATATGTACGGGCTAATAAGCATAACACGTAACTTCTTGACAACCCACTTAAAAAATTTATTGGGCAATGCCCATGTTTCCCACTTGCTACGTGCGTGACCCCGTGACCAAAATACCATAGCTTAACTGTTATCAGGCATTCACTGACGGATTTGGAATTTTTCTCTAACGAGACACTATTATATGGATCGAGACGGTTCGGGTCAAGTGTTAGATTAATCTATTTTATGTAATCCACGTGTGAAGATAATTTTGAAAAAATGACATGTATTTCATGAATAGAGTTTCCCCGGACAAAAGTACGACTAGTCACTGTTTAATTTACTAGTCATCACTCACCATAGTTTATTTTAGAATGGCAAGTCACTGTAGATGACGAGTTATTGTGAACTAGTCACTAAATATGTCCCTTTTTGGAAAATTTTAAAATAATTCATATTTTCTCCTTTGAATTTAATTTAGTAATATTCATGAAAAAAGATCAAGAATTTTTTGAAGCGGAAATAGATTATCCAATGACAGTTTCAAACGATGTAAATCTATGTGTTATGGGTCTAGTTTTCAATCCATTAAGACAATTTGAAACAATAATATTCAATTTTGTGAAAGAAAAATGTAATATGGATTATAACTACTGAATCCTCTTTGCACTATTTCATGTTTTGAATTAGATTCAAGTTAATTTTATGCTACAAATGGTCAAATTTTATTCAGAACTAGGATCATGTTCAACGTTACACGTCGTGCCACAGAATTACGGTTTTCAAAAATGAAATACAATGATGATGATGATGATGATGTTGATGATGTACCTCATAGAATATGATAGTTCCAAAGTGGTGATAATTTGTTATTGGATAACGAACGATTCTAGAACGATGATTCATATCTTCAATGTTAAGAATACTAACATCATTTAATGAACTCCATCCTCACAGAATATCTTCAATTTGTTATTGGATAACTCCATTCTTAATTAACCAAAAAATATTGACATCGTTCAAGAGATCTTCTAATCCATTTTTGTACAAAATCCTGAAATTGACCTCTGTGTTTTTAAGCACGCTAAGATCATAACCTCGAGAATATCTTGATCGTTTTGTGGAAAGAAACGGGACATCATATTTTTCAATCACAATGCTTTCTTCACTAATTAGGCAATAAAAACAAATTTATAACCCTCTGTAATTTCCTCCAACCTACTAGCAATGCCCGTTAATTTTAAATCGCTTTCTTCATCAAATATATTATCATAAACTTACATTATAGGACTCCAAATAAAAATAATACGAATAGTGGTGGTAAAATATGAATCCTAACATGTAGCTCTCGGACAAGCCAAACTACTTTCTTGATTCAAATATCTCCTGATGGTAAGTAAACTCTTTTCTAACATCTTGCTCATGGTTTCAAGTTGTTTTAATGTTTTTATTGAAACTCGTTCTTTCTTTTACAAACACATCCCAAATATTTTAGTAATCATAGACATATATTCAAAGAAATTACCCACAAACTTGTTTTCGTGCAACAACCAGAACAACTAATTGCAACTAGTGGTCACAAAAATAGTGAATATATCTTGTGCGATGTTCAGAAAGGCGCTAGGACCTAGTCGGGCGCCAACCTAGCACCTAAGCGGATGCCTAGGCGGAGACTAATCGAAGACGTATAATTTATAGTTTTATCAATGTTTTTGCATAAATATGATTAGTAATGTTGTATTTGTGCGTGTATAAAAATATACACACACATACATATTAACATGAATGATAGAGTTGTCACATTAATAATATTATACCTACTCACATAACTTTATTAAGTAATAAATATTATTAAATAATCATAACATTTTAGAGTATATACAAACATGTATAGTTTTTATATTAATTGACAACTAGTAGTTGTATTCACATGTGTTGTTAAGTTAAATGTACATTTATCTCTTAGAAAACCAAAAAAAAAATCCGAAAACAAAATTCTTTGGCGAATCTAGACGCCCTAATCAAGCGTCCGATTAATTGCACTGGACAGGCGACCAACTAATTCACCTAGGGCTAAATCAGGGGCGGACCGTAGTACAGACCCAGGGGGGTAAGCCCCCCCCCCCCCCCAACAAAAAAAAATTCTAGGGTATATATACACGAAAAATAATTTTTGCCCCTCAAAAAATAATTTTCGCCCCCAAAAAATATTTTGAACCCCCCCAAGACGGATTTCCTGGGTCCGCCCCTGGGCCAAATCAATTAGTCGGAGCACCTAGACTAAAATCGGGGCATTCGGTCATCGCCTAGCACTTAGGCGGGAAGTAGTCGAATGCTTAGAGCAATTTTTAGAACAGTGATCTTGTGGATGAAATTTCATTCAGGATAAGAGTTTTCAATCCATTAAACTCACCATATATATTAGAAGTCTCATTATATCCTTGAACTCTAATTTTGAAAAGAGATAATTCATACTCCCTCCGTCCCAATTTGTTTTGCAAAGTCAACATTTTTTGGTCAACCAATAATAAAAGTCAACCCTTCCTATGGATAAATAATTCAATTTTTAATATTTAAAATTTACATATTCAAAAACTACATTAAAATCTCTTCAAAGTTGTAAAGTCCAAATTAGAAAATAATTAAAAAATGACATCCTAATTAAGTGAACAAAACGAGACTGTTTGACTAAGAAAAGTCAAATTTGCAACTTTTTTGGGGATGGGGTAATACTATGCAAAAAGCTAGCAATGCTACTTTTTCAAATAATGGTCATGTCTTTACAAAACAAATGGTCGTATTAAAAAAATATGTCTAATTGGATGAAGTCGATCACTCCATCTTCTTAACTCTGTAGCCATTTAAATCTCTTATAATAATTTCCATAAGCTCTTTGGCACAATTATTACCTTATCTAATAATTACTGTCCTCCGTCTCTTTTTAATCGCAACATGTTGAATTTTATACTATTCACATGTTCTACTTTGACTACATTTTATATTATTATTTTATGAAAATTATTTTCTTTGAAAAGTATTGTTTAATTCATCTCATTACAAATTTTCAAAATCTATTTTTTAAATATTTTTTACTAATAGAGATTAAGATATAATTACGGTCAAAGACGTGCGTTAGCAAGTGTGAAATGTTGACCGTTGCAACTAAAAAAGAACGGAGGAAGTATATTTTTATCTCGATAAGAACACTATTTTCGTCATAAATACTAATACTAAATTTTGGTCTAGGCTAACATGTGCCCCCAAGGCCGGTCTTCCACTGGACACAGTTTTAACTCGATCATATCAGTCGTCGAACCTAATTTTGGAAGGTCAATACTCAATAGGCTTAGAAAAGTCAAAGCTGTGCCCAAAGTCTCTTCATAACGTAATTGAGGTAGCACTATATTAATTTCAAAGTTTCACCACACAGCACTATATTAATTTCAAAGTTTCACCACACGTAATTGAGGTAGCACGTATATATAATGGAAGCTATTATACGATCAATTGTCAAGTCAAATTATTGTTCGATTCTAAATGCCATATATATACTCTTGTTTAAATTAAAGTAATATACTAGTACGGAGTATATATTACTAGAAGCACATTTGTTATGGAATGTTTAGACAAAATGTATAGCACTATT